CGCGCGCGCGCGGCTTCCCCCCCATGGCTGGAAGCGGGGGCCACGGTCTCCGGGGGGCCTCTGGGCTTTGCTACCTTCTTGGCTCCCTGATGGCTGGACTGCTCTGCCCGGAGACTGTTGCCTTCAATCTGGACGTGATGGGCGCCCTACGCAAGGAGGGAGAGCCGGGCAGCCTCTTTGGCTTCTCCGTGGCCCTGCATAGGCAGTTGCACCCTCGACCCCAGAGCTGGTGAGTCACCGCACCCCCTTCAAGTCCCCAGGCTCGAGCCGCCAATCGTCTTCTTCAACCCCTGCCCACCTCATCTCTCTGTCTTCCAAGCCCACCCAGATACCGCTGCCCACAGACCCCACACCCAACATGGAGGCTGACCGCATCTGCTTGGTTCTGTATCCCAGCCTCCGCAGCTCGGGGGTGGGTGAGGGAGCCAAGTTCTTGTCTTGGCAGGCAATGGCCTTCTGTCTTTCTCTCCAAGTGGCATCCTCGCTCCCATGCCAGTGTCTGGCTCCCTCCCCTCCTCCTTCCAGGGCTGAATTCTCCAAGGAAGGGAGACTGATCATTCTGTCACTACTTAGGTGGGAGGAGAGGGAAAGGGTGGAGAGGTTGAGTGCCATGGAAGGGAGCGAGGGAGGGCAGGTTCCCGAAATGACTTCCCGCCAAAGCCTTGCTGCCATCGATGGAAGGACAGCGGGCACTGGGGTGTTGAAAGATCTACTCATTTGTATAGCGCGAGGCCAAGACGACAAGCAGGTTGGGAGGGGTCCTGGATCCTGTACTAGGTTGTTTGATGAAAGAGAGTGGCAGGAAACACAACTTCCCGAAGTATCATCACCATCATCATCATGGTCGTCCTGGGCCATAGTAACAGCAGCAGCAGCAGCAGTGATGGCAGGGAGAGAGATCCAGATCCAGGAGGGATGCTGGCCATGCTGTTCCCTCAGGAAATGTCCAGCTCCAGGGATCTCAGCTGTGGGAAAGGCAGGGAGGAGCAAGGGGCAAAGGACCAGTCTAATCCTTTTCTCACCGTGGGAGTCGGACACACTTGTGTGTGGGGCCCTGCCGGCCATGCCTTTTGTCCTCCTGCTTCTAGCTACAAGTTAAAAGAGAGAGGAGAAAGAGAAGAAAGACTCCCCATCTCCCAAGCCAGGGGGCTTTCCCCACCCTGTGCAGCCAGTGCCTAAGCCACATTAAGTGTCCATTACTGGGATCAATGCTGTCCACTGGGACGGTCTTCTCCCCTCTTACTACTGGCCTCGGGCCAGAGGGTGGGGGCATGAGCTTATTTCTCCTCACTCACCCCTTAGGAGGAGGGAGAACTCAGGCTCTTCCTTCTTCCCGTTTCCTCCATCATCAGGGCACAGGCTCGGTGCTCCCCAGAACTTTGGGGGAGATGGGAAACAGCTTATTTCACCTCTTCCTCAGTCTTCCACCTCTCCCCACCCCTCCTTCCTCATCTCAGCCCTCTTCCTGCCTCCCCCATTCTGCCAGAGTTCCAGGACCGGAGGCCTTTTTAGGACATGCTGAACTCTCTCGGAGCTATTTCCAGGCAGATTCTAGGTTATTTTTAATAGCTTGGTCTCTTGTCATTTCCCCCTCTTCTCTGAAAGTAGCCCCCGAGCCTGTCTTCAGAGCCAAGCTGGGAGTATGGCCAGAGGGGCCTGACTGCCGCAGTAGCTGGAGCAGGGGGCACGCTGCTGCCGGTGGCGTGGGAGAGCGGGGTCCACAGCGGTCAGTTCCTGGCGTTTGAAGCGCAGGCTGACGTCTCTAGCGCTCCTTGGTGGAAAGACCTTCCCACTGTTTAGATGCCTCTCAGTCTGGCCCCTGGAGGAGGCTCTGAGGTCTTCTGACTACCTCACTTATTCCCTCTAGCTGCTAACTGGAGAGTCAGCAGTCGCACTACCACGCAGAGTTGTCCTGGGGATGAAAAGAGTTCCTGATGCATGTGAAAAGGAGGCTCTGGGGTCCCAAATGATTTGCAATTGCTGCTGGCCCAAAGGGTCGACAGTTTGAATCCAGGGGAGAAAGGGGCGGTGAACTGCTTCTGTCAAGATGCCAGCTTCCTGCGTCAGACAGGAGCAACCACCTCTGGAAAATACTTGGCACAGCGCCAGGCCCTTAGTGAGTGCCATGCAGCAGTGTCCCTGGTGCTGCCATTCTGTTCTGTGAGCCACAGAACAGCGATGCTGACGTCACCTGACAGCAATGCTGGATCTGAAGGCTTGGCTAGAGCACCCCCGGGGTGAAGCCGTTTTCCAGGCCACCTCGATTGAGAGGTTAGAGAGGGGCTGGGTGAGGGCAGGAGCCATGGAATGTGGAGAACCGAGAGGAGCGGCCGTAGCCGTAGTGGGCTCCTAAAGGTCCCTCCACCCCTTCAGTCACAGTCTTTTCTTTTTCTCTCTATAGTGGCGACAGTTGTGGCTACTGAGCCTCCAGAGACCTGGGGTGGCTAGGCTCCTGGGACCACAGTGGGCAGGAGTGTATGGCTGAAGCAGAGGTGGAGGGACTGGTGAGGCTATGTGTGGGCGCTTTTGTTCCAGGAGGGATGGGCTGGTCAGTTCCCCGCCAAAATGGGGCTGGGCACATCTACACATCTGACGTCTTCTTCACTCCATGTGGACCTTCCCACGTGTGTTCTCCATACTCTTCACCTCCAGGGGAGGGGGGAGCTTTGAGCAGCTCTGGGTGCTCAGCTGAGCACGGGGGGCGCCGCGACGACACAAAAGAAGGGGAGCAGCAAAAAACACCTGATGCTTCTGAGGGGGCAAGCATGAAGATGAAGGACGAGACAGTCCTAGCCCCCCAACAGATGGAGGCCTGTCTCTGTGTTTGGAGGTATGGGGCCCTGGTGGCTGGTCTGAAGGATGGCATTTGTTGCCCAGGGCCCTGTCTCTCTGCTTCCTTTTCCGCTCAGGGAACCCAGGCGATGTGGGTCTCCACCGCTCCCCCTCCCCTCCTGGCAGGTAGGTCTTGGTGTTCAGGAGATGAGCTGTCATGGGGGGCAGTGGAGCAGGTGTAGTGGAGCTGGGCAGATGGAGATTTGAGTTCCCGCATTTCTGCACAATTCATTTCTGAGTAACTGCCCTTGTAAGACAATCCTGATCTCACAGGATTCCTTTAAAAAAAAAAATCTTTTTATTGGGGTGTGTGTGCTCGTACAGCTCTTATCACAATCCAACAGGATTACTTTAAAAAAAAATTATTTTATTGGGGGCTCTTACAACTCTTGTTACAAACCATACATCAATTGGATCTGACATATTCGTACATATATTCCATCGTTCTTTTCTAGACATTTACTTTCCCTTGAGCCCTTGGGATCAGCTCCTCCTTTTTTCCTCCCCTCCCCCTCCAGGAGTCATTCTTGTGAAGAGTTAGTGCACTACTGCATCAATCTTACCCAGCCCGGGGCACAGGTATGGGGATACATCGTAGGTCCTTACATTTCTGGCGCCTGCCTAGGGCCTGACCTGTTGTAGGTGCTGGATGAATCTGACTTCCTTGTTTCTCCAGTGTCTGAAACAGGGCTAGGCATAGTCCCCCCTCTCCCCCAATTCCTGCTTAGTCATTTCTGACTCAAGGTGGCTCCCTGAGTGTCAGAATAGAACTGTACTTCACAGGGTTTTTAACAGCTGTTGTTGTTTGTGAAAGTAGATCACCAGGCCTTTCTTCTGAGGCTTCTCTGGAGGGAAGGATGGCGAACTTCCACCCTTCTGTGGACCAACCTACCTCATTGACCAGTCGTGACACTGGGCGTCTGCTGGGTTCTCGATCCGATCCGTAGTGAGCTGATACTCAATGGAGGCCCCTTTTACTGTTCTCCACCCCCTTCTCTCTCTTGACACTGGCTCTGACATGCAATGGCAGCTGCTAAGACACAGGAGGAGTTCCGGGAAGGGAGGATGGCTCACTGCCCTCCCTCTGCCCTTCCAGGACTGGCACAGTGCCCCACAGTTGCCTGCCTGTAATATGCCCACCACGTATTTGAGCCTCTCCACAGGAAAAGATAGGGGGTAGAGTGTGGGCCAGCGCCATTGCGGGTTACCCTGAGCCCACTGTGGAGTCTCTCTTGCCAGCAGCCAGCTGCACATCTGTCCATCACCCCCTTCTTACTCCTGGCCTGGAGATTCAGCCCCAGGGGGCCCAGGCAGCCTCCATTCTCAGTACAGTCCTCCCCCGGGGAAGAAGCCTTGGCTGTGATCATGGAAAATTGTCCTGCCAAGAAAGTTGTAGCTGGGAAAAAGTCTGAGCGGGGAGGGGGAGGTCAGGGAGACGACTGGTCAGGGGTGGGCAGTGGGAGGAAGGGGAGACACCAAGTTTGGGGAGGAGAAGGAAGAGGAGTGCGCAAGGGATTCAGGATGGGGGTGTGTGTAGCATTGGGATAGGACTGGAGCCAGGATGGGAAACGTCCCTACTTTCATACCAGTCACTGATAGAGTTGGTGGCATAGCTGCCCAGGAGTGGGGTCTTTGTTATGCCCCTAATGGAGACAGCAGGCCCATGGCTAACCTTTCCCAAGACCTCAGAAGCTGGTCTCTGGGCCACCTCGTGGGGCCAGTCTGGGCCCCATTACTTTTGCTCTTAGCATTCTTGGCATTTCTGGCAGGGTTTCAGTTGGACCAGGGTGGGGAAGGAGGGCAGGACTTGGGGACGGGGCCAAGGAGGGGGCAGAGAGGGCCTGGGCATGAACAGGTGCTGTGAACAGGCGGTTCTTTCAAACCAGCAGTACTGGCCAGGCTGGTTAGGCCTCTGTGTGTGTGTGTCTGCTGTGAGTGTTGCTCCTGATACAGGGAGAACTGGGTGCATATATACCAGAGTGTTTTCATGACCAACTGTGTGAACTTGCTCTTGTCCCAGGCTTGGGAAAACAACCTTTGTCCTTCTCCTTGTTCCTGGAACTCTCTGCTTGGTACTGAGACCAGGGAAGTTTCAGGAGTAGCGGGAGCCTTCTGCCCTCTAATTTTGCCCCTACCCCATCGTGCAGGCTGCTGGTGGGTGCTCCTCAGGCCCTGGCCCTGCCTGGGCAGCAGGCTAATCGCACTGGAGGCCTCTTCGCCTGCCCCCTGAGCCTGGAGGAGACAGACTGTTACAGAGTGGACATCGACCGGGGAGGTGAGGGCCCTGCGGGGCAAGGGGTGTCCGGAAGCATCCGAGGAGGGAAGGAGAGGACGTGGCCTCCTCTTCCCTCCCCTAACCCCCAGTGTCCTGTCCCCAGTGGATGTGCAGAAGGAGAGCAAGGAGAACCAGTGGCTGGGAGTCAGTGTTCGGAGCCAGGGGCCTGGGGGCAAGATTGTGGTGAGCACCGCTTCTCTCCAGGGCGTTTAAGGGAGGGTGGGTGCCCGTGCGTGGGTGTGCCTGTGTATATGGTGTGCGCCTATGCCCAGACGCACTGACAGGACACAGGTGGGGCATGTGGTGATTCCTTGGCCCTTAGGATGACATAAGCCTGTCTGAGACACGGTCTCTGTCCTTACCAAGCAATCAATTGATAAAAACCCTTCCCCTCCTATTGAGAACCATCTAAGCGGTGGGCCCTGCGCGCATGACTGAGAGATGCTGAACTCCTAATAAAGGCAGGGAAGTACCTGGTCCCCGCCTCAAATAGCCGGCGTCAGCCCAGGTTCAGGCGTTTACGTCCTCTCTCCTTCTTTGTCTGTTTTCTGCCTGTATCTCTCATGAAAACACACGAACACACAACGGCTAATACAAGTCACTCTGCAGCAGGCTATGGTTAATGTTAGTGAGCCGCCAGCCTCTCTAAAAGCTCCAAAGACAAGAGGCAAGAAAAGGCACCTGTAGGTAGGCTAATTCCTGGTGGCACTGTGGGTTAAGTAGCAGGCAGTGAACCCCAAAGGCTGTGGTTCAAACCCACCAGTAGCTCCGTGAGCTGAAGGTGCAGCTCTCGGGTTTTTTCTGGCTACAGTCTGAGAACCCTGTGTCCTCTGAACATTGCTAGGAGTCAGAATCGACTGGATCCCCAGTGGGGTCCTTATAGTTTTGGTTTTGATTTCTTGCTTGGAGAGTGGCTAGGGGAGGGAATTCACTGCAGGGGAGGTGCCTGTGGAGGAAGGTGTACATGTAGTGGCCTGGCTCCATTGTGCCTGCGGGTGCCTGGGCAGAGTGTAAAACAAGGACTTCTCTCAGAGAGGATCAAGGAAGTGGCTACGATGGGGTACTGGTTTATGCGGGTACTTGCCCAACATTGGGGTTCAGTGGCTGTGCCCTGAAATGCTGGCAGAGGGTTGTGTGGGGTGCATCTGTGCCTGCAGTCACCTGGGTGCCAGCCTTTGGCCGACTTCTTTGTAAGGGCAGCGCGGCTCAAGCAGTACCCGGGGCCCACACTGGGGAACTGCCCTTCCTCGTTTCCTCCTGCAGACCTGTGCACATCGGTACGAGGCTCGGCAGCGAGTGGACCAGGTCCTGGAGACGCGTGATGTGATCGGTCGCTGCTTTGTGCTCAGCCAGGACCTGGCCATCCGGGATGAGCTGGATGGTGGGGAGTGGAAGTTCTGTGAGGGGCGCCCCCAGGGCCATGACCAGTTTGGGTTCTGCCAGCAGGGCACTGCTGCCGCCTTCTCCCCCGACAACCACTACGTCCTCTTTGGGGCCCCGGGAACTTATAACTGGAAGGGTGAGTCACGCCTCAGGGAGGGGATGAGAGGACCCAAGCCCTTGATTGGGCCCAGAGACAGGACTGAAGTTGCACATGGCCACGCATGACTACATGTCCGCCGCCATCAGACCCCCGGCACTGGCATGCCTCCTTCCTACCCTCACCACACTAGCACCCATGCGAATGGGAGTGCCTCCTGTCCTTCGCATGGCCCCAAGGTCCTCCACACGCTGGCATAAGCCCCCCCACCCCCCCAACCTGCACCGTTGGGCCGCCCACCCAGCTGCATGCGCCAGCACACAGCCTGCCCTCATCACTTCCATTCCCATCTCTGCACACGCTGCGGGCCGAGCTGACCCTCGGTGAGTGTGATGCCAAGTCTTGGGCGCCCAGGAAGCTTGGGCTGGGCAGGGCGTGGGGGTGGGGTGGGGCTGGAGGGGTGAGGAAGGGCTTCCCGCATGCCTGTCTAACTCAGTGTCCGACTGGAAGGGTGCTCCTTGCTCCTGCCCTGGGCACTAACAGGACTCTTCTTACAGGCACGGCCAGGGTGGAGCTCTGTGCGCAGGGCTCAGCGGACCTGGCCCACCTGGACGACGGGCCCTACGAGGCGGGGGGCGAGAAGGATCAGGACCCCCGCCTCATCCCGGTCCCTGCCAACAGCTACTTTGGTAGGGACCCCTCCCTGGCCCAGAGCCACGCTAACCCTCTGCTCCTCTCTCTTGTTCTCCTTCTCCATGCTCCCACCCTCCCGTCCCTGTCTCTGTCTGTCTCCTTCTCTCGGTCTCTGGTCTCTTTCATTCCCATTTCTCCTCCTCTTCCCCGTTCACCTTCTGCTCTGACTCTTGTCTCTCACTCTGTGGCTCCTCCTCTGGACGTCCCTTCCCTGGTGTCTCCCGCCCCCCGCCCCCCACAGGGTTGCTCTTTGTGACCAACATTGATAGCTCAGACCCTGACCAGCTGGTGTATAGAACTTTGGACCCTGCTGACCGTCTTCCAGGACCAGTCGGAGACTTGGCCCTGAATAGCTACTTAGGTTTGTAAGCTTCCACCCACGTCCTCCTGGGCCCTCGGGGCCTGACCTCAGCCTCCCCTAGGGGATGTGTTCTCTGTTCATCCCTGACACACACTGAAGGGAGAGCTGGGTCCCCTGGCCAGGTCTGAGGAGAGGACCCCTGAGGGAGCTGGCCTCAGGGACCGGTGAACTGGAGGAAGGTCCAGGTGGAGGCAGAGGTTCAGGCTGGACTGTACTGGGGAGGAGGAGGGGAGCCCTCCAGGGGGACTTCCTCAGAGGGATGGATGGTGGGCAAGTGCTGGAGAGAAGCCTAGCCTTGTCGGTAAGTTCGCATCATCTCACTGCTTCATCTGCGTCCCTTCGGCAGAGGAGAAAACAAGGCCTGGGAGAAGTTCGAGTGAATCAAACACTTCCCTCTCTACCATACGTCCCTCTCCCACTATGTGAAGGCATCCTTTCCCTCTGTGTGGTGGGCAAAGAGGATGCATTAGCTAGGACTGGGGGTCTCGAAGGTGTGGAGATCAGAGAGGACCCTGCCTCTGCTCTAGTTCTCTGGGGTGGGCCTGGTGGGGCCGCTGCCTCAACTCCTGCCACTGTGCTTGACCTTTCGCTCAGCCCTCTGGTCTTCTCAGCCCTCCTCTCTCCTCCAGTCCCTGGAAGGGACTTGATGCCCATCTTATGGCCCACTCCAATCTCTGGACCAGGCAGGTGTGGGAGGGCTGCCAGGTCTCGGGAGGGACGGGAAGACTGGTCCAGCTATGGCCATGATAGCTTTGGGGACACTTCCTCTATCTCTTGACTCCTGACCAGCTGGTGGGCTGGGGTCAGGGTTGTAGGGGCACACCCCGGTGGCAGAGTCAGCTGGGAAGTTCTCACCAGGAAGCATCCATCCCCACCCAGGTTTCTCCATCGACTCGGGGAAGGGGCTGGTGCGTGCGGAGGAGCTGAGCTTTGTGGCGGGGGCGCCCCGAGCCAATCACAAGGGTGCCGTGGTCATTCTGCGCAAGGACAGTGCCAGCCGCTTGGTCCCCGAAGTTGTACTGTCTGGGGAGCGCCTGACCTCTGGCTTTGGCTACTCGCTGGCTGTGGCCGATTTCAACAACGATGGGTGAGAGTGGGCACAGGGCAGGGGAGCCTGGGGAAGCTGGCACGAGGGCCCTGGCCTGGCCAGGGAGACCCCATGCTGACCCTTTCTCTTTTCCCCAGCTCTCCAGACCTGGTAGTAGGGGCCCCCTACTTCTTTGAACGCCAAGAAGAGCTGGGTGGTGCTGTGTATGTCTACATGAACCAGGGGGGTCACTGGGCTGACCTCGCCCCTCTCCGCCTCTTCGGCTCCCCGGACTCCATGTTTGGGATCAGTGTGACTGTCCTCGGGGACCTCAACCAGGATGGCTTCCCAGGTGTGGCTGGCATCTGAAGATGCTCAGTGAAGAGAAGTGGCAGGAAGGCGGAGTGTGTGTGTGTGTGTGTGTGTGTGTGTGTGAGTGTGTCTCAGACGGCAGGGCCTTCTGAGGCCTCAGGGGAGAAGGCCGCTGGGCTGGCATCTGAGAGTTACCCGTGAAAGTCACATAACCTTTCTGAGCTAGTCCTGGCCCGAGAGAGTGGCTGCGGGGATTCAAGATGTTGAGTGTGTGTAAGGCTCAGCGTCAGGTTGCACATAGACGCTGTATGTGTGTGTGTGTGGCGCTTGGCTGCTATTGTGTGTGTGTGTGTGTGTGTGTATGTGTGGCGCTTGGCTGCTATTCTCAAGGCAGGCAGTTTGAATCTGCCAGCAGCACTCTGCTGAAGGCCCTGGCAGTCTACTTCTGTGGGGCTTGAAGCCTGGAAAGATACCCCTCCGTAACACATGGGGTCGCTGTGAGTCGGAACGGCTCCAGGACAACAGTTTTTTTTTAAATGTAAAGTGCTTGGGGCTCAGCTGTGTCTGTGTATGCTAGTGAAATAGAAAACAAGTAGGACGGAGGAAGGGCTGAGGCCTGGTTCCTGTCACCTGCAGCCTTTCAGACTGTCCCCCCCCCCACTCCCCCTGCAGATCTCGCTGTCGGTGCTCCCTTCGATGGGGCCGGGAAAGTCTTCATCTACCACGGGAGCAGCCTGGGAGTGGTCCTCACACCTTCGCAGGTGAGGGGAGTGTCCCTGGCTTGAGGGGGCCCAGGGAGGTGGGAGAAGGGGGCATGGGCAGCAGAGAGCAGGGGAGGCAGAGGACAGAGGTGGGGGAGGTGGGGAGTGGGTTAGGAGAGGCTGACCATCTGATCACCCAGGTGCTGGAGGGCGAGGCCGTGGGCATCAGGAGCTTTGGCTACTCCCTGTCTGGCGGCCTGGATGTGGACGGGAACCACTACCCTGACCTGCTGGTGGGCTCCCTGGCCGACACTGCTGTCCTCTTTAGGTGACCCCCTTCCCCTCCTCTCCCTTTTCCTGCCCAGAGGTGGCTGGATCCCCTCTCTGTCAAACCTGATGCTGAAGACTCTCCCCCACCCCTCTTTCAACCCTGCCTCTCATTCTAATGTTTCCCATGGCCCTCACCCCGTCCCCCCAGGGCCCGGCCTGTTCTCCATGTCTCCCATGAGGTCTTCATTGCTCCTCGCACCATCGATCTAGAGCAGCCCAACTGTCCTGGGGGCCACTCAGTCTGGTGAGTCGGGGTCTGAGGTGAGGTCAGGGGAAGCCTCCGGGACCCAGTTCCCCCTTCTCCCCCTTTCTCTCCAGTTTGGAGTGGGGGCTGGGGCAGCAGTGAGAAGGTGGAGGCTTGGGGTCTTGGTCTCTCAGGCTTATCTGGCTCAGGAGCCACCCATTGCCCCCACAGCGTGGACCTCCGGGTGTGTTTCAGCTACATTGCAGCCCCCAGCAGCTACAGCCCTATCGTGGGTGAGTGAGGTCCCCTCTCGCCATGCTGGGTTTCCTGGCAGGGCTACTTGGAAGCTGGGGAAGGAGACACCCTGGGGTGGTGGTGGTGGTGGACAGGGTCGAGGGGAGCTCTTCCCTAGCTCACTGGCTCCCCTCTTCTCCCCTCACACCACAGCTCTGGACTACATGATAGATGGAGACACCGACCGGAGGCTCCGGGGCCAGGTCCCCCGGGTGACCTTCCTGAGTCGGAGTCCAGATGACCCCAAACACCAGGCCTCCGGCACTGTATGGCTGAAGCACCAGCATGATCGAGTCTGTGGCGACACCATATTCCAGCTACAGGTGGACACGTACCCCCTTGGTCTCCGAGGGCCATTGTCAGGTCATGATCCAGGCTCCTCAGTTCCTCTTAGCTGCTGCTTCTGCAACATACTCACACTTCATCCTGAGATCTCTACTTTCGGGAAGCTGCCTCAGCGGCTGACCTCCTCCCCTGCTGCCGCCTCCTTGCCTTTATTGTGGACGTTGGCGTTCTCTGTAGATGAAGAGGGCCGTTTCCATGGCAAACTCTGGTCCTCATCCTTCTCCATCCTGGGTCGCCTCCTTTCTCGCTCAGTGTGTCTCCCTCCTCTGCGTTCAGTTTTCCACCTCTCGCCTGCATCTCTCTGTTTCTTTCCAAGAATCTCGATCGGTCCGAGAACCATCTGGGGTGTTGGGCAGGGCGGGGGCCTGGGGCTTGTCTCAGTTTCGCCGTCCATGTCCCCCTCCCCAGGAGAACGTCAAAGACAAACTTCGCGCCATTGTGGTGACCGTGTCCTATAGCCTCCAACTCCCTCGGCTCCGACGACAGGCTCCTGGCCGAGAGCTGCCTCCTTTGGCCCCCATCCTCAATGCCCACCAGCCCAGCATCCAGCGGGCAGAGGTGAGCGTGCGTTCTTGTTTGACCCAGACGAAGAAGCGGAGAGGTCCTCCCCACAAACCCTCCTTTCTAGAGGTCAAAGCGCCTGCGTGTTTTATCCCATTGGGCCTCCTACTTGTAAATGCTGTCAGAAGTAGACCCTGAGCGTCCTCCTCATCAGAGGGGACAGCATCCTCCATTCGGCCATTTCACGGAGATGCTGCCGTCTTCAATGGTGGCCTGCCAGGGCCTGACATCCTCTCCATCCCAGTCACCCAGAAGGGGGAAGGAGGGTCAAGTGCCTGGCGTGGTCCTCATGCCCCACCTGGAAGTGGTGCTCCTGACTCCTAAACCCAGCACGAATCCACTTCCACAAAACCCTTCCCATTCTCACCTGGAGTGCGGTCACAGGGCCGCACCCCGGCCAGCTGTGGTAGGCTGTCAAGTGGATACCAACTCTTGGCGGCCCCATCAGACAGAGCAGAACTGCTGCACGGAGTTTCGTGTCATCTTTATGGAGCAGGATCTCCAGCTCACCCCCACCCCATCTCGTTGGCCCCCTTCCTGCACAGAGCAGCTGTGGATTTAGCGCCGGCCTTTTGGCTAGTCGTCTGCCTGTTGACCATTCTCTCACTGGGCTCGTTAGCCAGGCCAGGGAGGGGGCGGGGAACGTGTAGTTCACCTGCTTATCTCTGCCCTGGCACGGTAGTGGCCCCGTCATATTCCTGATGAGGCTCAGAGGGGTTGAGTGACCAGCCCGATACTACCCAGTTAGGGACAGGCATATTGGAGAGTTGACCAGAGGTCATTTAAAACCGGGTTTACGTGACCCTGCTGTGTATCTTCCTGGGCATGTCTGTCTCCTCAACTGTCACCCAGATCCACTTTCTGAAGCAAGGCTGCGGTGAAGACAAGATCTGCCAGAGCAACCTGCAGCTCGTCCACGCCCACTTCTGTGCCCGGGTCAGCGACACAGAGTTCCAGCCTCTGCCCATGTGAGGGGGCAGCGGGAGCAGGCTGGGTGGGAGGGCATGGGCTCAAGGGATGGAATGGAAGGAAGCCCCCAGGAGGCCTAGACAATGACTCAGACCGTGGCGGGATGCGGGTCAGGGAAGCGGCCACAGGGAAAGGGGTCCTCTCCTGGTGAGGAAGGACCACTCTTCATGATGCGTGTGATAGCGTGTACTCTACACACATCACGCTGCTGGGTCTTCACAGGCCCAGGAGGTAGGGACTATCCCTAGTCCCACTTTACAGATGAAAGACTGAGACCTAACCAGTCCTTGTTACGTACCCGAGGTAAGCAAGTGAGGACAGTGGAGGGCCTCCGAGTCTCAGGCTGGCTCTCCTGTGTGTGCAGAGATCTGTGTGGTGAGGCGAGTGTGTATGGGGGGTGGCTAGCAAGTGGAGGCAGGGCAGCGTGCCCTGGGGGAAGGAGGCTGAGCGTGCTAGAGGCTGAGGAGGGGGTTCAAATGAGTGGGATCTGGCCCCCAGGGATGCAGATGGGAAGACAGCCCTGTTTGCGCTGAGTGGGCAGCCATTCGTCGGCCTGGAGCTGAAAGTCACCAACCTGCCCTCGGACCCAGCCCAGCCCCAGGCTGATGGGGACGATGCCCATGAGGCTCAGCTCCTGGTCACTCTCCCTGCCTCTCTGCACTATTCAGGAGTCCGGGCCTTGGACCCTGCCGTGAGGACCCACCCGGGACAGGGTGGGGTCGGGTAGGGTCCCGGGGAGTTTCAGTCCTTCAGACTGGGCTCACCTCTGCCTCGCTCCAGGAGAAGCCGCTTTGCCTGTCCAAGGAGAATGTCTCCCACGTGGAGTGTGAGCTGGGGAACCCCATGAAGAGAGGCGCCCAGGTTGGCATGTCTCCCCTTAGCCTCTCCCATGACTCTGTAACCCCGGACCCCTTCCCTAAGCGCCCAGCCCTTCCCTCATGCCACTCCACCCTACCTCTGGCCTAGATCACCTTCTACCTCATCCTTAGCACCTCAGGGATCACCATTGAGACCACAGAGCTGGAAGTGGAGCTGCTGTTGGCCACGTGAGCCTGGGCAGGGGGGCAGATTGGGGTGAAGGAGGGGGCAGTTGGGTTGGTATCGACCTGGAGGGGTGGTGTCTGTATGCGCTGCCCATGCCTACCCCTACCCTTGCGCCAGGATCAGTGAGCAGGTGCTTCATCCAGTCTCTGCTTGGGCCCGGGTCTTCATTGAACTGCCGCTGTCCATTGCTGGGTGAGTGCTGCCCCGTGGGCCCCATTGCTGGACTGGAGGAGGGGCATCACCACTTCTAAGTCCTGCCCCAGACTCGGCCCTTCCCTCCAGCTCGGCCCCTCTCTCCCAGGGAGGCCATCCCCCAGCAGCTTTTCTTCTCCGGTGTGGTGAGGGGAGAGAGTGCCATGAGTTCTGAGCGGGATGTGGGCAGCAAGGTCGAGTATAAAGTCACGGTAAGTGTCCTGGCGTGTGACCCATCCCTGAGACTCAGGGAAGAGGCTGTGACGTGACTCCCATAGCTGTTTGGCAGTCCAGCGCATTTGTGGCCTCCCTCCTCCACCTGGCCCTTGTGCTAGGGCCTCCTGTGACCATTTCCTGGTCACCCTTGTTGGACCATCTCAGTCTGCTGCTCTGGAGAGATCATGGGAGCTCAGGAAATCCCATGGTGGGCTTCAGCTAGACATGGGAGTGTGCGGGGAGGGTTGATGTCTCTTAGACCGGTTGAAGACCCTCTGCTTGGCTGGAGTCGTCCCTCACATCTCCTAAGGACGCCTTCAGGGTTTCCTGGATTTGTTGAGGGGAGAGCATAGTGCCTGGCGGGGTCCAGGATCCTGAGTCTTTGTTGAAGCTCTGCCTCAGTTGAAGCTTCCCCTCAGCTCTTGTTCCCCACCTCTGCAGATTGAGGGCCCCCTTGGGAACTGAAGTCTGTCCTTTCACCCCCACCCCCACTCCCGCTACACCCACAGTTCTCCAACCAAGGCCAATCCCTCAACACCCTGGGGTCTGCCTTCCTCAACATCATGTGGCCCCACGAGATTGCCAACGGAAAGTGGCTGCTGTACCCAATGCGAGTGGAGCTGGAAGGGCCTGGGCAGAAGGGGCTCTGTTCCCCGAGGCCCAACATCCTCCACCTGGTGAGGCTTAGGCAAGGTGGGCTTCTGGACAGGAGGGTGGAGGAGGGAGTTAGACATTGGGAAGGATGTCTTTGTCTTGGGGGTGGAGGGCACGGGAAGAGAGGTGCCCTTGGATTGCTGCGCTCAGAGGGACACTCACTGCTGTCCCTCCCCGCATCCAGGATGTGGACAACAGGGACAGGAGGCGGCGGGAGCTGGAGCAGCCAGAGCAGCAGGAGCCGCAGGAACAGCCTGAGCCGAGCACATCCTGGTGGCCAGTGGCCACTGCTGAGAAGAAGAAGAATATCACCCTGGTGAGTGCAGAGAAACCAGGGTGCTGGCAGAAGCGGGTGTGTGGTGACGTGAGGGGGATGCCGCGGGGCGCATGGAGCCTCAGTGGGGTGGGTTCAGGTGGGGGGGGCAGGGTTGGCTTATCAAGAGGTATGAGGGTCAAACACCGAGGGCATGCTGATGAGAGAGTTCTCCTCACAGCTCAAGGGAGGGAGGCAGCGGTGAAGCAGCTGCTGGTACCTCAGACCCTCCTGCACCACCAACCAAGCCCTTCCGAGCAGGGAGTTTGGCCTTAAGTTAGTTAGTTAGCCAAGCAATCAAGTCTTCATTGATGCCAAACAAGAATTTCACATTTTATAAGGATAGGATAGTTTTAATGACCTTGCAGATCTGTTGCTCTTTTGACCTCGGTTAGCAGGTTAGCATCGAAAGGTCAGTGTGTGTCAGGAAACCCGCTGCCTTTCCACAGTTAAAACCACATATTTATTTAGTTAATGGCTAAAACGTGTTGTAGCATAGAGGATTCATTGGGTCTGTTTCTCCATGGCTTCTGTTTGCTTTGCCTCGTTTTGGCCTTTAGATGGCTTTACTGGGAGAATCAGCACGCGCTCTGTGCTTCTTCCCTGCTGGGATGGCGCTGCCCATGAGAATGTGGCGAGGACACACATTAGAGGGGTATTGTGTGTGTGTGTGGGTGACTCTCAGGTGGGGAAGGGTGGGATCAGAGCCTGTTGCAGGGTCTCAGGGGAATGGAAGCAGCTGAGCCAGCTCTGCTGCCATCTATTGTGGAGGGAGTGCCATTGCACCTGGCTCCCTCCTCAGGGCCCTCAGCTTCCTCACTTTCTTTCTTTAATTAATGAATTTTTTGTTTGTTTGTTTTTAAATCATTTTACTGGGGGCTCGTACAACTCTTATCACAATCCGTCCATCCATCCATTGTGTCAAGCACATTTTTACATTTGTTGCCCTCATCATTCTCAAAACATTTGCTTTCCACTTGAGCCCTTGGTATCAGCTCCTCATTTTCCTCTCCCTCCCCATACCCCCTCCCTCATGAACCCTTGAAAATTTATAAATTATTATTATTTTGTCATATCTTACACTGTCTGATGTCTCTCTTTACCACTTTTCTGTTGTCGACCCCCCAGGGAGGAGGTTATATGTAGATCCTTGTAATCAGTTTCCCCCCCAGCTCAAGTCCATGGTTCAGATGCTAGTTGGAGGCCCCTCCAGACCACTCCAGACCCTCCCTGTGTGTTAGACTAGAGAAACAAATTCATAGACACTCATATATGTATAAGAGAGAGCTTTGTATGCAAGAACAATTGAACATTGAGTAAACATCCCAGCCCAGTCCAGATCACGTCTATAAGTTTGGTAATTAGCCCATATGTCCAATATCGGTTTATAAATTCCTCTTCAGACTCATGAAACATATGCAATGATGCTGAATGTAGGAAGATCACAGGCCAGTGGGTGCAAAGTCTTGTGGATCTGGTGTTGGGTTAATGGGTTAATGTTGGATTTGTGGGCTTGGGCAGCATTGGGTTGGGATGTTTTCGTGATGCACA